CTCCCAGCTACATGCCTGGTTTAGGGCTTTGTAGGCTAAAGCCAGCACTTTGAATTGTGCTTGGTGGCAGACTGGCTACTTTAATAATATTTGCCTGTAGGGAGAAGAGGAATCAAAATAGTTATTTTTTTGGTTGACGACACTCATCGACCAGGCTGTCTAGGAGATTTGGGGAGTTTTCATCCAAAATAATAACATTCCCAAGTCCTGAGAAGATGGAAAGTTCTGTTCCTCAAGTATGTCCATCTCCTATTGTCACAAGGATAAGGCTGGATGCAGTTTATTTGCGTTTGGGGTTTGTGGAGGGAGTACATTGGTTCCTGTTATTGCATTGCATTGATTTTATAGTTGGACAATCAACCCTCTACAATAATAGCAGACTTTAGTGGATATTACTAGTCACAGATTTGATTCATATGACTTCTCTATTTTTTACCTTTATGAGATTCTCTGGGTCCTTCAGTGTGACTGGAGGTCAGGTTCTATGAGAAATTGACCACAGAGTTATGCCTGAGATTTCCAGAGAGGTGCTTTCTTAGTTAAAAAAAACCTATACTATTTTTATTTGTGTTTTTTTTCTATTTTCATAGGGGTCCTGCACCCTTAACTCCAGCAAATGTGGAGGGCCTATAAAAGTCCCCTTATTCCTCTTTATTATTTTTAAATTTATTTTATTTATTTATTTACTTCACTTGTATACCGCTCTTCTCAGCCAACGGCGACTCAGAGCGGTTAACAACCAGTATCAACAATACAGTACAAAATCATTAGTCATTTAAAACAGTAATATCAATTAATTAACATCAGGACATCAATACAACAATACAGGAAAACAACAATCCATCACGTCTCATCAATAGAATCAGCATCCGATCTCGTTATTTATTTATTTATTTATACGCTTGTATACCGCTAATATCTCAGCCTAGGTCGGCGACTCATTGCGGTTTACAACAATTAAAAACAGTATTCAATTTAAAACATAAAACACATATACAATACAATTATTGGGCCACCAATAATAATCCCATGCATCTCGTAACTAAAATCACAATCCAATATTCGTCGTCTATGATTACCAATCCTTTAGTCATCAAAATTCGTTGCAACGGATTAACCGAATGCTTGTTTAAACATCCAAGTCTTCAATCTCTTCCGAAAAACCATCAGCGAGGAGGCTGATCGTACCTCTATAGGGAGGGTGTTCCAAAGCCGAGGGGCCACCACAGAAAAGGCCCTGTCTCTCGTTCCCGCCAGCCGCACCTGTGAAGCCGGGATAGAGAGCAGGGCCTCCCCAGAAGATCTTAGGGTCCTGGTGGGCTGATAGGCTGAGATACGTTCGGATAGGTAAGTTGGGCCAGAACCGTTTAGGGCTTTAAAGGCCAACGCCAGCACTTTGAATTGAGCCCGGTAGCAGATCGGCAGCCAGTGGAGCTGGTTCAGCAGAGGAGTTGTATGCTCCCTGCGCTCCGCTCCTGTTAGTATCCTGGCTGCCGCCCGTTGGACTAATTGGAGCTTCCGGGCCGTCTTCAAAGGCAACCCCACGTAGAGAGCGTTGCAGTAGTCAAGCGGGATGTAACCAGAGCGTGGACTACCGTGGCCAAGTCAGACTTCCTGAGGTACGGGCGCAGCTGGCGCACGAGCCTGAGCTGTGCAAATGCTCCCCTGGTCACCGCCGAAACCTGGGGTTCCAGGCTCAGCGATGAGTCCAGGATCACACCCAAACTGCGAACCTGTGTCTTCAGGGGGAGTGCGACCCCGTCTAACACAGGCTGTAACCCTATACCCTGTTCGGCCTTACGACTAACCAGGAGTACCTCTGTCTTGTCTGTATTCAATTTCAATTTGTTCGCCCCCATCCAGACCGTCACAGCGGCCAAGCACCGGTTCAGGACCTCGACAGCCTCCTTAGTAGCAGGTGGAAAGGAGTGACAGAGTTGGACATCATCTGCGTACAGATGACATCGCACTCCGAAACTCCGGATGATCTCGCCCAGCGGCTTCATGTATATGTTAAACAACATGGGAGACAGTATTGAACCCTGAGGAACCCCACAAGACAAAGGTTGTGGGGTTGA